TAAGATTTTTCTTTTGGGTCATGTAGCCATGATTTATGAACAATTTCTCTCTTATGTTGCACATCTTTATTTTATTTGTGGATCTTATGGGATTTTGTCTTTGAATGGTTAAATTTCGTTGATTATCGATTTAATGTCGTTATTATTATAGGTTATTATATATTACCTTGGTTACATGATTAGATGATTGTAACATATCGTGCATAATGCAATACAGTGGTAAATAGTGAGAGTAACCAAAACTTCCATTTAAAATTTTGTATGTTAGAAATATGCTCCCAAGAAGGAGTGCACGCAGCATGCGAGAAAATCCTGAAAGTCAAACACCTGATATAGCGCAGTTGATAGCCTAGCAAATTCGAGAAGCATTTCCAACTATTGTCGCTCAGGTTACAGCGGGCATTAATGCAAGTCAAATGAGCGAGGGAGGCCCTAGCACCGAGAATCTCGTCAGGGAGGAGAACCGTAACACCAATGATAGAGGATGCAATTACAAGACATTCATGTCCTGCAAGCCAAAGGAGTTTCATGGTAAAGAAGGTGCAATTGGATTACTATCATGTATTGAGAGCATGGAGTCGGTACTCCATATTAGCAAGTGCTCCGATGACTGTAAGGTGGAGTATGCAACATGCCAACTCCAGGGAAGAGCCCTAACTTGGTGGAACATTCAAGTTCAAACCCGTGGTCGCCAAGCTGCCTATGAGCTGTCATGGGAAGAACTCAAAAAGTTACTCATCGAAGAATATTGTTCTAAGAGCGAAATTCAGAAGTTGGAAGTTGAATTCTGGAATCACACCATGATTGGAATGGAGGTGGACAAATACACTGCTCATTTTCATGAGCTTGCCAAGAGTACCTCATATGGTCACTCCAGAGGAGAAACAAATTGATCGGTACATCTGGGGATTGGCACCTAAAATCCGAGGGATGGTCACGTCGGCAAACCCAACCACTATACAAAACACGGTGGTTTTGGCAAACCGTCTGACAAATGATGCAGTTAGATCAGGGATTTTAAAGCAAGACAAATTTGGTGGAAAGATGAAACTAGAGGAGCAATCGTGGAAAAGAAACAACAACAATTTAGGCAAGAACCAAAAAGTGATAAGAAACTTTGGGGCTCAGTCTCAAACAGGAGAAAAGGGCAAGGCAACTTACCCTAAATGTGGCAAGTGCAATTATCACCATAGCAGGAGATGCATCATCTGTTTCCAATGCAATAAAGGAGGTCATTTCGCTAAAGATTGCAAGATCAGAGAGAATCGAACATGCCATGAGTGCGGAAGCCCGAATCACTTCAGGAATAAGTGCCCAAGGATAATTAGAGGATCGAGCATCAACAATGCCAGAAACCAGGAAAGGCAAACCAGTCAGGGAGATCAAGGAGGCCAGGCTCGGGGAAGGGCATTTGCAATGGGAGCCGAAAGGCACGTCAAGACCCTAATATTGTGACAGGTACGTTTCTTTTAAACAACCTCTATGCCTCAGTAATATTTGACTCTGGAGCAGATAGAAGTTTTGTTTCCCTAGAATTTAGGCCGTTGATAAATATGAAATCGAGGAAGTTAAAAGATGCTTACACTATCGAATTTGCCAATGGCCAATAAATAAAGGTTGGGGACGTAATCTTGGGTTGTACTTTAAATTTAGCTGATAAGTTATTTAGCATTGATCTTATCCCAACTAAATTGGGAAGTTTCGATGTAGTGGTAGGAATTGACTGGTTGTCTAAGTAGTGTTTAACCCATAAGTGACGGTTTTAGATATTCCTCTTTGATAGGAAATTTTTAAGCTCGTGTGGTGACCGGATCGTATCTATAATTTGCGGAGCATTGCAAAAGAGTGAGTATTCACGGCCCCTTTTTAAAACCCTTCGTTATTTGGG